TGGCACCGTGCAGCGGCTCGAGCGCAGGCCAAGCTCAGCCCTGGTCTGGCCGTGGTCCCCCTGAGGGGCTCCCACTTGCTGCACACTGAGCGGTCGCCTCGTGTGGACCCCACTCCTGCAGGGAGACGAGGGTAGAACAGCCTCTTCAGAGGGAACCGTTGCACACCAAGTGCTATAACACGTCCACACCCGGGGAGAGAGGGTAGAGCTCAGTGGCGGAGCACGTGCCAAGCACGTGTGAGGTCCTGGGTTTGGTCCCATGCCCTCCGTTAAAAAATGGACATAAATAAGCATAATTACCTTCCGTGACCCAAAAGGAGAAAAAGGATTTAAAATGTCCACATCCTTGGACCCAGAACCTCTACCTCTGGAAACACTAAAGGAATCGGTGCGGGCCCGTACGTGTGCGGGGAAGGTCCCAGCACCTGCACACGCAGCAGTCGGAGGTGGGCCGAGCACAGTGTGACGCCCCCTCACAGCTGCCCATGATGACGCGGAGCGCTGGTGACGAGGGGGTGTGTCTGTGGGGTGGTTCTCAGCGGGAGGAGCGGACAAGGAAGTGTCGTAGGGTCCCGGTTTTGTGGGGTTTCTGTTTAGGGGTGATCTGGAGTACTGAGCTGCAGCCTCTCTTTTTTCCCCACACGATGGGATGAAGAGTGCGTTTTGAATGCTTCTGAGAGTTTCCATGTTAAAGTATGTTCTTTTTGGCCTCCCTCCTGCCCCACCAGCTCTCCTAACGAATTTCTAAAATAAACATTTTTCAGTGGGAAGGGTAGAGCTCAGTGGTGGAGTGCATGCCTAGCATGCACGAGGTCCTGGGTTCAATCCCCAGCCCCTCTATTAAAATTTGTCATCATAATAATTAAGTAAGCCTGATGATGGGTAAATAAGTAAGTGTTTTTTTTGAGCTGCTGTCAGCGCTGTCTGCTGCAGACACACGGCTCCTTTCCAACGTGTAACCCCAGCTCTCCCATGTCTTCAGCCCACAGATGACATAGTGCTAATGGCCCAAGCCTTAGAGAAAATTTTTCTGCAGAAAGTGGCCCAGATGCCCCAGGAGGAAGTGGAATTACTACCCCCTGCTCCAAAGGGCAAAGGCCGGAAGCCAGCTTCGGGAGCCCAGAGCGCAGGTAAAGGGGTGGGCCGGTCTAGGCTTTCTGGCCTGGTGCCCCAGCAGGTGGGCTGGCCGCTGACCACAGCATCCCTTCTGAGGGGCCCTCCACGCCCTGAGCTCCGTCTCCCCATTTGGGCAGTGACAGTAGGTGCTCTGGGAGCTGGGCCTCCGCTGTCAGGCCCGCAGGCGTCCTGGTGGTCTTGCTGCCTCTGCCTTGGAGCCTGCTCTGGGGAGGGGACCTTGTTCTGACCATGTCCCTGCTCGGCTCCTCCTGGCCCCGGCTCTCCCAGGAGCCACGCGGTCCCTTTTCTTCTCCTAAAACCTTGCCTGTTCTGCGCACGTCATGCTCCTTGCGACATGTCAGGAAGCCCTGTGGGGATCAGGGTTAGCACCAGGAGCCCTGCGGTGGTCTTACCTGGTCCCAGAAGCCAGAACAGGGTGCATGCGATGGAGGCTGACTGGCGGCCCAGCCCTGGAGAGCGGCCGGGATGTGTCACGCTTTGTAACAGGGCTGTGGCTGTTACGTGACTCCATCGGGTCCCTTGGCTGGTCTCCTGGGAATCTGAGTTAACCCCTGGCTGCTACCGAGCAGGCTGCCCGGCCCGTCCGGCTCACTCAGTCGTTCAGACCAGGGGCGGGGTCTCGGGAGGAGGGGCTCACTTTGCTGGTGCCGGGCACTTCCTGGATGGAGGGGTTGGTCGCAGAAGCTCCCAGAAATGCCTGGCAGAGCCCAGCCAGCTCAGCCCTGTCCCTTGTCTTCAAGGTTCACAGCAGGTGGCGGCCGTGTCCTCTGTGTCCCCAGCCGCTCCCTTCCAGAGCGTCCCCCCTGCTGTCTCCCAGACGCCTGTCATTGCTGCCACCCCTGTGCCAACCATCACCGCGAATGTCACATCGGTCCCCGTGCCCCCGGCTGCTGCCCCGCCGCCCCCCGCGACGCCCATCATCCCCGTCGTCCCTCCCACGCCTCCCGTGGTCAAGGTGAGCGTCCCCAGGGCGTGACGCCGCTGAGGGTCCTGGATCCAGGCAGGGGTGGGGCTGGCGGGGGAGCGCCACCGCTTCCCCCGGGGCACCGACCGCTCGCCGGGCACTTGGCACCTGTGACTCTGGAGTGGCTCCTTGGTGCCCGCAAGGCGGGCCGTGGTTCCTGACACGGACGAGGAGCCCGAGGCCGGAGCTGCAGGTCACACAGCTGGTGAGGGCGGCTGCGCTTGGACCCCTGCTTCTCTGGCCTCTGCAGCGCGTGGGTCGAGGTGGGAGGGCGCGGAGAGCAGGGGTCGCGGCCGGGCCCTGCAGGCGCTCGCACTTGGATTTCCAGCGGTCGGCGTGGGGAGGGCGGCGGCCTGCGCCCCCGCCAGTGTGAGCCCACAGCCCGCTCCCCGCTTGCCGGGAGCTGTCCAGGCAGGGCCCGCCCCGCCCGGGCTGCGCTCCGAGTGGGTGTTCGCTGCGAGGCCTGGGGCCAGCGAGGACTGCCGAGCCGCCTGCTGTGGGCAGGCCCCGGCCGGCCACTGACGTGTGTCGTCTTCTCCGATTTGACCCTCACAGCGACCCTCTGGGGCAGACAGTATTTCCCCCATCTTTCAGATGACGATGCAGGCGCCCAGAGGGGTTAAATGGCGCCCCCCAGGTAAAATGCCGCCTCCGCCGCTTTCCCTACCCCGTGGCCGTCACTGCCTGTATTTTGGGCGGCGCCTGGCCGGGCCGCCTCCCTCAGCGCCCGGCTGTCTCGGAGCATGTCCCGTTTGCCATGGCCGGATGAGCCCCGGGGCCTCTGTGGCACGTGCTTGGCCTCCCGTGGGCGCCCCTCAGTGTGTGTGGGAGCTGGCTCATGCCCTGCCAGCCTGGGGGCGGCAGCTTGGCTGGGGCAGCGACCATGGTGGCGTTCCAGACAGCAGAGGTCTGGGGGCTCGGGGCTCCCAGGGCTCCTCCCCCCATCTGAGCTGGTCTCGGGGTCGCCCTGAGCCCTGGCTGCAGAACAGGTCCCGGCGGCTGGGACCCCCAGGCACGAGACGTGCTGTCACTCACCGGACACATCCGTGTGAGCATCTGCCCTGGACACCCACGGAGGGCTCCCTCAGGCGTTTCAGTGTTTCCTCCTGTGCGGGCAGTCTTTCTCCCACTCCGCTGCCTTCAGGGTCCAGTCCAGACCTGCCCATACACTCAGGCCCCGGGAGTCCTTGGTCCCAAACCTCGTGCTGCTGCCTGCGTCCCCGCTGCCCCCGCCCCGCCCCGCTGCCCGCATGCTCTTCTGGAGCCCTTTGTCCTGCAGCCAGCTTTGAGGCCCTCATCTGGGATGGACCCTGTGGCCTTTCTGAGCAGGGTTCCTCTCATCTCTGCTGTCCCTGAGCCCGAGTCCCACGAGGTGGCAATCCTCGGTCGTGCTGGTCCCTGAGCCTTGGCTCGACCGGGCCTGGGTGCTGGTGGGGTGCAGTGGGCCGCGTGTTGCGCCTCACGTCGCTGGGGTGGTGAGCACCCACCGTGACTGCAGGGCCTGGGGGCTCAGGGGGATCTCAGGCAGCCCAGGGGTAGCTTCAGAGTCCAGCCTCACCACCGCCAGCTGTGTGACCTCAGGCCGGCCGCGGGGCCCCCCTGAGCCTCGGCATCGTGTGCGGCGCGGGGCGGCCGTGCATGTCGTTGCTTCGCTCGGTGCCTGGAGGTGGTCGGCACTCGGGGGCGTTGCCGCGGCGGTGCTGGTCCTGACAGCGGGTGTGGGTCCTGGGGCTCACTGTCCTCTCGCTGTCACAGAAGAAGGGCGTGAAGCGGAAAGCGGACACCACCACGCCCACAACGTCGGCCATCACCGCCAGCCGCAGCGAGTCGCCCCCACCGCTGTCGGACCCTAAGCAGGCCAAGGTGGTTGCACGGCGGGAGAGCGGGGGCCGCCCCATCAAGCCACCCAAGAAGGACCTGGAGGACGGCGAGGTGCCCCAGCACGCGGGCAAGAGGGGCCGGCTCTCGGAGCACCTGCGGCACTGCGACAGCATCCTCAAGGAGATGCTGTCCAAGAAGCACGCGGCCTACGCCTGGCCCTTCTACAAGCCAGTGGACGCCGAGGCCCTGGAGCTGCACGACTACCACGACATCATCAAGCACCCAATGGACCTGAGCACCGTCAAGGTACGGGGGCGCAGGCCGGGGCCTCCCCCCCGGGCCAGGCAGCACCTGGCGTGGTGCTGGCATCCTTTGCGGGCTCGACCGCCGGCAAACACGGCCTCAGGGCTGCCAGGGGCCCCAGCTCGGGCCTAGCAGAGTCACGGAGGAAGGTCCGCTCTGCCCGCCGGTCACTTCATCTGCAGCTTCCTTGTCATCTGTTCCTCCTGAATCCGGATTCGTTATTTCGTCTTATTTCCACTGTAGTGCGTTTGCCTGTTTCTGTAATGCCAGGCTAGGAGGCCCTTTCCGGGCTCTGCTCCCTCACTTAACAGAAGCGGGCCCCGGACGTGGAGGTGTCAGAGCTGAGACTGGAGCCCAGGCCTCCCAATTCCCGGCCAGGCTCTTCTTGCCCCGGGAGCTCCTCCCTGGTCCTTTGCTTCAGGTCAGGCCAGGTGCTTGCAAGCAGAGGAGAGAGCCTTGACGAGGCCGCGACGAGAGAGTGGGGCTGCGGTTAACTAATCTGGGGCAACGCTGGGCTCCCACAGGTCTTCCGTGAGCTCCCACATTGGGCTCTGGCCCCGGTGCGGCTGTCTTCTTTCCGCCTGGCTCGGTCTCGGACAGTCGGAGGCATGCCCCTGGCTTGGGGCCTGGCTGACCCTGGAAAGGTGCCCCCATGAAGGGGGACGTGATCTGTTGCCATCACCTGGGTCTGGGCCCTAAACTGCTGGTCTCTGGCAGTCTGCCCTGTGTCCCAGGACCACCACCCGGGGGCCGAATCTCGTAGGAAGTCTTCCTTCCCCCGGGGGCGGGCCGGGCCGGCCGTCCAGAGCAGTGGCTCCTGGGAACTGGCCGAGTCAGGCGGGCCCGGCTGGGCTGGTGACCCAGCAGTGTCCTCACTGTCTCTGACCCTCATCCTAATTGTGAGGGCGGGGGCGCCGGCTTCCTCAGACAGGCTCAGTGGTGCTGGGGCCCCGCCCTGGGAGCCCAGGAGGGGCAACTACTTTTCTTTTTTTTTCCCCCATCTGTGTGAGTAAAATACAGACATTGGGTCATAAAAATCCAAGCAGAGCAGAGGCAGGTGGAGGGAGACCTCACCTCTGGCGCCATTGGCCCCCCTCCTTTCCAGAGATGATTTGAGCTAATGGTTGGGTCCGTCTTTCCTGATTAACTCCTGACTCAGGCCGGTTCTTCTGGAGAAGGTTTTGACCATGGGGCAGCGGTACTCAGGCTCCCAGATACACCAGGAAAGTGACTGGTGGCCAAATTAGGATTGGAGCCCAAGAATTTCACGGAAGTTGAGAGGGTCTCAGGTGCCCGTTTGTCCTCCCTTGCTGAGTCACCCTCGAATGGGGAGGCTGTGCAGAGGGCCGGAGCCAGGCAGCCACAGTGCCATTGGAAGCTCTCCAAGGGCCAGAGAAGGGAGGTGTGTTCTAGGCTGGAGAGGCTGCAGGCCCTGGAGTCGGGGCACTATCAGCCCCTCCATCAGGTCCGGGGTTTTGTCAGTCTCGGTGCAAGTGAGACAGGTGGCGGGGCTCCAGCAACGATGTCCTGCTGCAGCGAAGCAGGGCCCTCGGGGGCAGGGGCACCTCGTACCCCTGACAGGAGGTGAGCTTTCTGTGAACCCGTCCAGGCAGGGGGAGCTCAGTCCCTTGCAGGCAGTCTGCCCGATTGCCAGCTGGTTCTCAGTGTCCGCCTCGTGGCGTCCCTCGCTGGACACACTCTGTGCCCCACGTGCAGCATGCCTGCCACCAGCTTTTCCCGGTGGGGCGGCCGGGACCATCTGCTGCTTCTGTGAAGGCAGGCTGGCTCCCAGCACCTGGATTCTCAGGAGGGAAGACATTAGATGTCTCATTCCCTGAACTGCGTAGGTCCCCCCAGGTTGGTAGAGAGCAGGTTTTCACCAGACGTTCCTCAGGGCCCTGCAGCTCCTGCAGACAGGGACTGACGTGCGTGGAGAGTCGCCCCAAGCGTGGAGCTGGGAGCTCTGGGTGAGGACAGGGGTGGTGGCCGTGGGGCCAGGACTCCTGGGAGCACCTTTTCCTTTCAGCCAGGGCGTCTGTCTGTCTGTGGGGTCCCAGACCCCACTCCAAGCCCTCTAGCCCCCTCTCTGCTCCTCCCTGGGCTCCCGGACGAGGTCTCAGGCTGGCCGTGGCTGTGGCCATGCAGAGGCCCCGAGTCGGGCGAGCGGGGTCAGGCGGTGGCCTCACACCCAAGGCTTGTGTGTTGCAGAGGAAGATGGACGGCCGCGAGTACCCGGACGCGCAGGGCTTCGCAGCCGACATCCGGCTCATGTTCTCCAACTGTTACAAGTACAACCCCCCAGACCACGAGGTGGTGGCCATGGCCAGGAAGCTGCAGGTAACCGAGGTGCTCCGTGGGGCCGGGCTTCTGGCGCAGGTGGGATCAGGGCAGACACCCAGGAGAGACACAGGGGTCACCAAGAACATCCAGCCTGGAAGGCGTGGGGCCTTGTGGGGTCGGGGGCCTCATCCCCAAATCGTGTTTCTCTTTGGTGGCGGGTAAGTGGCAGCTGGGCCCCCTACCTGCTTCCCAGGGACGTGGTGGCGAATGGGCCAGTTTCAGCCTCCCAGGTGCTGCAGGCCTGGGTAGCAGGAGTGAGCGGGCGAGGATGGCGGTGGTAGGGCGGAGACAGAGAGAAGGCAGGTGTCTGTCTCCCTGCTCTTCGCTGCGAGCCCGCCGGCGCAGCACGTGGGTGCTGTGCTGGTGATGACTGTGTGCAGCCTGCCTGCAGCTCTCCTGGCGACAAGGCGGATGGTGTGTGGGAGAAACGTGGGGCCTGCTGGGAAGCGCAGTCTGGCCTGCAGTGGCGGGACTTGGTGTCCGTGCACACAGATCTCACACACGGGCTGTGTGTGTGCGTGTGTGGGGTCATCTGTCAGAGCCTGGGGGCTGCCATGGATTTTTACCTGGGTCAGTACACGGAATCTGTTCTTTATTCTCTTTGCAATCACGTGGGCTGTTGCCTTGATAAATAATAGCACCTCTGTTTTAAACGTGATACACTCAGAAGACATTCTTTTTGGAGGAAAGAGTAAAAAAGTGGATGGACACCCACCCCGGTAGTTTTCTTTTCAGAGGACCCAGGTGGTTTGTTCCACAAGCCGTTCCCAGCTCCCTCTCAGGACCCTTCTGGAAACCCCACGCGGTAGCTCAGGAGCATCCTTCAGGCCCTGGCCCCCCGCGGGGGTGCAGGAGAAGCCTCCTTCCCTGCCTCGGTCCTGCCGACCTGTCTTCCCTTCCTCGTGCCTGTGGGCCCTGCCGCAGGCCTTTCCCAGCTCTGGCTGCTGCGCGCTGTCCCTGCTGGGAAATGTGGCAGAGAGTCCCAGTGGTCCCAGTCCACCAGAGGAAGCCCCCAGGACCCAGGTTGTGTACCGAGACCATCCCCACTGGGTCATGAAGCCAAAGGGCTTTGCCAAGCCCCGCACAGTCATTGCTCTGTGACACTCCTGAACCTCATAAACTGCTTTGTAAAGAAACCAGGTGGCGCTGGGGGCGGAGTCCCCAGGCCGGCAGCTCTGACTCTGTTCCCATGAAAGTTGGTGTCCGCAGTGCAGCCACAGAGGCTGGGGTCTTCACTGCTGATGACAATTTAGTAATTGCGCGGCCGGCTGTGTAAGTCAGGCTCGGGCTAGAGCCCATTGCTGCGGCGGCCACCAGGTCGGTGCCCTCGGGGGGCCTTCTGCCCAGAGGAGGCCAGGCCGCAGCTCTGTGTGGCAGCGTAGCTCTGAGACATCTTTATACCAGGAGGGGATTCTGGGGGCCCAGACGCACAGTAGGCTCTTTCAAGAGCGGGACACCCGATCAGTGGGGCTGCAGCGCATGTGTGTAAACCAGGTGTACGTGGATTCAGGCGTGTAAGCTCGGCAAAGAGACCCTCCCTTCGCAGCCACTCGTCCCATCTGCGGTGAACCTGGGCCAGCAGGGGATGGGGACCCTCGCCCAGCACGTTCCCAAGGCTGCGAGGTGCTGGCAGTTTTGATAGGACTGCTTCTCGAGCCAACTTTGGGACCTAACTCAAAGAGCAGAGGGGCTGATGCAGTAGGTCACAGAGGAAGGATGCGGGAAGGCGTGGGCCGGCTCCAGATCCCGTGGCTGGGTCCTGGGAAGGCCCCCTCGCTGTTTGGCAGAAGGTGGCCGCCTCGGCCTGGATGCTGAAGGACATACAAGTCTCCTGCCGGAGGTGTGCGTGTCCAGCCAGAGAGCTTGTGTGCTGGCTCCTTGGAGGCTGTGTCTGGCCGTCGGCCCTGTGTTCCCTGCCCCAGGACCGGCACTCAGTGCCTGAGGAGGGAGGGTGGGACAGAGGGCAAGCTGGAGGTGGCCCAGTCTCCCCGACTCAGAGGGGCCGCCCATGGGTGTCCAGGACCTCAGGTGGCCTCTGCTCTCCCACAGGATGTGTTTGAGATGCGGTTTGCCAAGATGCCTGATGAGCCGGTGGAGGCGCCCGCACTGCCCGCCCCCGCGGCCCCTGTGGTCAGCAAGGGCACCGAGAGCAGCCGCAGCAGCGAGGAGAGCTCGTCGGACTCAGGCAGCTCAGACTCGGAGGAGGAGCGGGCCACCAGGCTGGCGGAGCTGCAGGAGCAGGTGGGCGGCCGGGGCTGGGGGCTGAAACAGGACCATGACCCAGTCCTGACCAGCCTCGACCCGAGGTTTGCTCTGGTCACGTCCCCCCCCCTCCAAGTCACCACCATCCTTCACCATGGGGGAGGGGACCCAGGGAAGGTGTCAGCTCTGGGGGCGCCCTCAGTAGCGCCTGTAGGCCTGGGGCCACGTGAGCCTGACTATGTCGGGATGTCCCTGGAGTCCTGGGTGCCACTCCCTGCTCCAGGAAGTTCAGGGAGGCACCTGCAGAAGCCGCATCCTGGCTGGCCCCAGCAGCTGGTTACGCTGAGGTGGGCCAGGCGCCGCGGCTCCTATGGGAACGAGGGTGTCCTGCCTCAGCCTCTGCCCACCTGTAAATCGGTCCTCCCCACCCTCTTCACTCTCCTAATTTGCAACATGGGACCAAGAGGGGCTAGATTTCTGGGGCCTCCCGCAGGGAGGAGACCGCATAGTAGAGTGGGGCAGAGCCTCTGAGCTGGGCCGCATCAGACATGACAGTACAGGGACGAGGCCCCCGGGGGGCAGCCGTCGGGCCGGGGGCCTCCCACGCCCTCGGGGGGCCGCTGGAGCGAGCAGCACGTCCCGCACGTAGCACGCCGCCAGCCGCACGGCAGGCTGGGTACGGGCCAGCGGCTGCCCACGGGCGGCTGGGGAGAATCTCCTTTGCGCAGGCGTTCAGACCTCTCTCTAGAGACCCTTGCTTATCTGGGAAATGAAAACTAGGAAGAAGGACAGAGCTACCGTGTACCGAGTCCTTCCGGGGTGCCCGTCCTGGCGGGGAGACCGAGGCCCGGGGCTCCCCGGCCCCCTCCCTGCGCAGCAGAGGCCGCCCCGGGGCGCCCCCTCAGCCGCCTGTGTCTTGCAGCTGAAGGCCGTGCACGAGCAGCTGGCCGCCCTGTCTCAGGCCCCGGTGAGCAAGCCAAAGAGGAGGAAGGAGAAGAAGGAGAAGAAGAGGAAGGACAAGGACAGGGACAAGGACAAGGACAGGCACAAGGCCAGGCCCGAGGAGGAGAGGAAGGCCAAGGCCGCCCCGCCTGCCAGGCAGCCCCCGCAGAGGAGGGCGCCCGCCAAGAGGGCCAGCAGCACGACGGCGGCCGGCAGGTGGGCGCCTGTGGTGGGAGGGTGCCTGTGCGCAGCCCGTGCCCCGGTCCCGGGGCTGCTACAGGAGACGGGCCGGGGCTGCCGGCCCTTGTCCTGCCCGCCTCGTGGAGAGGTCTGGGGACCAGGGTCTCTGCTGGGAAGACTGGGCTGTGCAGGGCGCCACCCAGCCCCCTGTGGGGCCGGCCTCCATCACAGGCACTGGAGCGGTCACACCGCCTGGCGTGGACCTCAGTGTCTCGAGGCTTTGGGGCAGTTTCCTGATCTGGGCTCGGGAGTTTCCTGTGGGAGGCCTGGGGCTCTTGGCACTCCGTTCCCGGCTTAGCTGGTGGGCAGAGGGTCAGGTGGTGGGACCAGGCCTTGACGCACAGTGAGGCCTCTGGTCCCCACGACCTTTGCTTTAGCTCCCTCCGTGGCCAGGCGCTGGCCCGAGGAATGCCAGCCACAGACCAGCAGGGACGACAGAGGGAGGTGAGGGCAGTGAGGGAGGCATTCAGGACCGGAGGTAGAAGGAGGGCTTCCTGGAGGAGGGGGTGACAGCTGCACAGAGGGTCAGGATGGGGTTCCAAGAATCAGGAAGAGCAGGCACAGAGCCGTGGAGACCAGTAGATTGTATTCCTGCTGGGAATTAGGACAAGGTCAGTCCCGCAGAAGAACAGGCCGGGCCGGGAGGAGGGAGTGGCGAGGCTGCTGAGGTCACCGGCTCTGTCGAGGTGTCTGCGTCCTGTTCTCCGAGCAGATGAAGGGGATTCATGAAACGTCTCAGCTGGAAGCGGCCAGGCCTGGCCCGTGTGGGGAATGGGTTAGTGGAGGCAGGATTGGGTGGACGGTTCCTCCCCTTTGGAGGTTATTGGGGTCACAGAGGCAAGAGAGGCCGGTGCGGCCGTGGGGGTGGAAACGTGTTGCTTTGAGAACTGTTTGTGAGGCGGAGTGGACAGGCCTTGGTGCTGGAAGTCAGAAGAAGGGCACACGGAGCCACCGAGTGGGCAGTGAGAGCAGTCGGAGTTCTCTCCTCCCTCCCTCCCTTTTGGAGGGGGAGGCAGGAGTCAGGTTTCCTGTTGTGCCTCTGGTTTTGGTATCAAGAACGAGTAGGGGCGTGTTCCCTTCTCTTCTGTTTTCTGGGCAGGTTTGTAGAGTGCGTGTCAGTTCCAAGTGTTTGATGGAGTTCACCAGTGAAGCTGTCTGCGCCTGGAGTCTGTGCTGTTGGAAGGTTTCTAACCACAAATTCAGTCCTTTTTATTCAGTAGATAAAGGCCGGTCAGGTTACCGGTTTCTTCTCGAGTCAGCTTTGGGGTGCGTGCACTGCACCTCACCATGGGTTTGTGACGCTCCCTCATCCTTCAGCATCTTCCGGGTCTGTCGGGATGTGTCCTCCTTCGTCCCTGGTGTTGGTCACTTGTGTCTTTTCTTCAGTGAATCCAGAGAGAGGTCGGTCAGTTTCACTGGTTGTTCAGAGAACTAGCGTTTGACTTCACCGGTTTTTCTCTTTTCTTTTTCTTTCATTTCTGGTCTGTCTTCTGCCGTTTCCCTTTCTTGATTTGGACTTAATTGGTTTTTCTTTTTCTACCTTGTTAAAATAGAAGCTTAGATTATTATTGATTTCAGAACTTTAAAAAAAAATACTAGCGTCTTAATGCTATGAATTTGCACCTAAAGGCTGCTTTAGCTGTATGGACCCCACAAATTTGACATGTTGTGGTTTCATTTAGTGCAAAACGTTTTTCAGTTTCCTTTCAGGCTCTCCTTAACACCGGTCATTGAGAAGCACGTTGCTTAATTTCAAATATCTGAGGCTTTCTTCCAGATGTTTTCCCGTTACTGGTTTCTAGGATCAGAGAACATACTTTGTATTTTTCAACTGGTTAAGATTCACTTAATGGCCCAGAATGTGGTGTGTCCTGGTGCATGTTCCATGTGGACTGGAAAAGAATGCATATTCTCCTGCATTGGCTGACGTCTGGTATAAATGTCAGGAGGGAAAAAATCTTAAAAACTCTAAAAGGCAAAAACATGTTAATTAAGAATTCGGTTTGGTGGTGTCATTGGGGTCTTTTCTGTTCTTGCCTTTTGTTTTATTAATTACCGAGAGAGAGTGGCTGAACTCTCCACCTATAGTTGCAGACTCTCTGCTTCCCCTTCGTTGTGTCAGCTCTTATCTATTCTGAAGCCTGGCTTTAGCTGCACACACGCAAGGACTGTGGCGTCCTGGGTCGGTGGACCCTTCGGTCGCTTTGCAGCGCCCCGCTTTTCCCTGAGGCCTCCTTTGTCTGAAGTGGTCACAGCTGCTGCGGTTTTCTTTCGAGTAGTGTTCACGTGGCACAGCCCCCCGTCTTGTTACTTTTAACGACTCTTGTCATTATATTTAAAGGGGGGCTTGTGTAGACACCGTGTAAATTGGGTTTGGGTCTCGTCTGATCTGATCACCCTTTTCTTTTAATTGGAGTGTTTGGACCATTTATGTTTAACGTGATTACTGATACACTTGGATTTCCGTCTCCTGTTCCGTTATTTGCTGTCTGTCCTGTTTTTGTTTTTGTTTTTTTAATTATTCCTTTGCCCCCTTTCCTGCCTTCTTTCGGGCTATTTGAATTTGGGGCGAGTTTGACCTGTTGAGCTTGTGGTGCCTGTGGGGTTTTGAGGGGAGCTGACTGCCACGGCTGTTTCCTGGCCCAGGCCACCCCCAGCCGGGGGCGGCCTCTGCTGTGACCTCTCGCTGGGTCTTCCACGTCCCTGAAGACACACGTGCAGTCTCCCGGCAGTGGCCTGGCTTCTCTGTCTGGGGCACTGCTTTGGGCTGCCCCTTGGTCAGGGGGCCTGGTCCTGGAGGGGGAGGGCCTAGGGCAGGGCTCGGGGGCTTCAGCCGACGCCCCCTGCCTTCTGTCTCAGACAGCCGAAGAAGGGCGGCAGGCAGGCGTCGGCCTCCTACGACTCGGAGGAGGAAGAGGAGGGGCTGCCCATGAGCTACGACGAGAAGCGGCAGCTCAGCCTGGACATCAACCGGCTGCCGGGGGAGAAGCTGGGCCGCGTGGTGCACATCATCCAGTCCCGGGAGCCCTCGCTCAGGGACTCCAACCCCGACGAGATAGAGATTGACTTTGAGACTCTGAAACCCACTACTTTGCGGGAGCTAGAGAGATACGTCAAGTCTTGTTTACAGAAAAAGCAGAGGAAGCCATTCTGTAAGTTGTCAGGGCAGAGCGTTGCTGCGGCCCCTCCCTGCTCCGCCCCCCTGTCCCCATCGCTCCTCCGGTCCCGGTGTGGGGTGGGAGCCAGGCAGCTTCCAGAGGGGAGTGGGAGCGGGTCTCCGGCTGCTGCGCTCCTCACCGCCTTCCTGCCCTGAGGACACAAGGATGCAGCTTCTGTCTGTCTGCTCAGCCAGGGGCGAGGGGCTTGGCTGAGACCGGCTGCAGTCCCCCCCCAGCCGGAGCGCTTCCTCCCCTGCTCCCAGGCAGGTGGGCAGCACTCGTGTGCCTCAGCCTTCACCAGAGCGGGCAGGACCCCGAGGTCGGCCCCCAGCCCGATTCACTCACATTCTGGTGGGGACTCCCACCACAAGCCTCCCTGCGACTCCATTTGGGGCCTGGGCTGCAGGTGACCTGCCGGTGGTCCCCTGCCTGGGCAGACCGGTTCCCTTTTGCTGGGGGTTGAGGGTCCAGAGGCCTCCCAGCATGGACGATCGCTCGGGCTCCCCGGGAAGTCGCTGACTTCACTGGACAGGAGCGAGTCACTGCCTGGGTCAGCGGGTCCTGGGGAGCGTGAGCACAGGCTGCCCTCAGGCGGCAGGAGGACGGGGCAGCCGCCCGGCCCTGAGGAGCATGCAGGCTGCACCTGGGCTTGCGTGTGGCCCCTCGGGGTGCGTGTCCTCGTGTGCCGCCGGGGCAGTGCCTTCTCCTGGACGGAGCATGGGCTGCCCCGGCAGTCAGGCACACTTGACCCTCGGTAAGTTGCTGGGGGACTCAGAGGTGGTGCTGCAGGCGTGCCAGGTGGCGGACTGGGCTCAGGGCAGAGTCCGGGCCTCCCTGAGGCCCAGGGAGAGCCGTGGCTGCGGTGGAGGAGGACCAGGGTCAGAGGCCCGGGCTCTGGCGATGATTCTGCCCTTCGCACAGGGCTCTGCGGAGGCGCACGCGTCCCGCCGTTGCTCCGACAGGAGCGGGAGCGGTCTGGCCCTCCTTGGGAGTCCTGTGGTTCTAAAGGAAGAGCCAGGCGGGCAGGGATGCCGTGTCTGCTTAGTCACTTTGGCCCCTCGGGAGCTTGGCATCAGCCCCTGGGGGCCGCGCCACCACTGGGCCGCCCGCCGCTGTCCGCTAGCGGCCTCAGCTCCCGTACTCTTCCACAGCGACCAGCGGGAAGAAGCAGGCGGCCAAGTCGAAGGAGGAGCTGGCTCAGGAAAAGAAGAAGGAGCTGGAGAGGCGGCTGCAGGACGTCAGCGGGCAGCTGAGCAACAGCAAGAAGCCCGCCAAGAGAGGTACCTTCGCGGGCCGCCGCCCACGGGAGGGCTGGCAAGGGCAGTGGGCAGCAGGCCTGGTGTGCACATGGGGGTCCACCTCTTAGCCCGCCGTGTTCCCCCGGAGGAGGCTGTTACCCTCCTGAAACCCTGATTTCCCTTCCTGAAAATGGGGCACCAGGACCCTGGCCCTGGAGCGGAGCTGAGCAGATGGGAGGCGCCTGTGGAAGCACCGCTTTCCGGAGCTCCTAGGAGAGGGCTCTTTGGTAGGGCCCAGCTGTGGTCTTTGGGGGCCAGACCCCACAACTTGGGAGGGACGGGAGCCCCACTCCGCAGTGTCAGTGGGTCCTGGCGCCTAGCAGAGAGCTTTCTGGCAGTCCCCAGATAGTAACACCAGTTCCCAGCCAATTAACCGGCATCGTAGGAGGCTCTGACTTCCAGCCCCCAGGCCCTGCACTTTGTGGACTGTGGGGTCTCACTTTGGGTGAGCAGGTGATGGATTCCTTGCCTCCTTTCTCTGGGGCCTGTGAGAAAGGGCAGACCTCTTCTCCTGGCCCCAGGGGCATGAGGGCCCAGGCAGCGGTCACAGTCTAGGGCCCATCTTGACCCTGCAGCAGCCGGGTGCCACCATTGCCGGGCCCTGCATGCCCAGGGCCAGGGTGGGGCCAAGAGGCCCCGAGCTCATCCTGGGAAGGGCAGGGTGGGCGGCTGCCTCATACTGCTCCGCCAGCCCCTCCGTCCATACCCCCTAGGTTCTCTTAGCAGGTTGCATTCATTTTTCCCCAGTTTCTAAGCACACTTACATGTGTTGACCTTTGAGCTGTTTTTGTTCACATGTCTGATGCCAAATGTGTAGGTTTTCCTCACACCAGGTCGCCAGTCTCTGACACAAGCTGGCCATCCAGCAGCTCAGCTCAGCGCTGACACTGCCTGCTCGGGGCTAGTGCAGGCCCTCAGCCCCCACAGGACTGCCCCCACCGCAGATGCCAGTGCAGGGCCAGGCCTCCAGCGCCTTTGGCTGGCGGGCTGTACCTCAGGGGTTCCCACAACCCTTCCCTCAGGTTGAGAGTTTGCTGGAGTGGCTCACAGAACTTAGGAATGAGGAGTGAAACCCAGTATGGTTTGTTATAAAGGATACAATTCAGGAACAGCCAAATGGGAGTCATGGGCAGGGTATGGGGGCGGGGCGGGGCGCTTCCACGCCCTCCCCAGCACACCACACTCCCGCACCTGTGTCTTCACACCTGGAAGCCATCTGAGTCGGGAGCTTTTATGGCGCTGTCTCTGGTGCTGGGGGAGCTGAGCGTTCCCACCCCCCAATCACTTGGTCTTCTTGGTGACCAGCCCTTGTCCCGCGGCCATCTGGCGGCCTCACCTTCAGCCACTCATTAGCACAAACCGGGGTGTGATCTTGAAGGAGCTCCTTGTAAGTGATTAAAGGCAGTCTTGCCTCTGAGGAGACCTGAGGGCTTGAGGCGCTCTCCGCCAGGAACGGCACGGTGGCCAATGCGTTCCTTGTGCTGTCACAGCCGCCTCAGTGCGCTGATGCATTTCCCCGGGCGTTTGTCACTGCTCACTAAACCACAGGGGTGGGACCGCGTGGGCCGTGGCGCGGGTGGTGTGAGCGGAGGGGCCCCCGGGCGGGCTCTGGGCGTGTGGGCTGGGGGGCAGGCCGCTCACCCGCTGCGTCTCCCCCAGAGAAGCCCGGCCCTGTCGGCCCCC